GTACTTTCTGACCTCACACCTTGGAAGCTGGAGCTTGGGTACATGATCCTGCTAGTGAACCAGAGACTCAGGGTCAGTTGAGAAATAACTTACTGCTGTAGCATCAAATGTTAGCCTGACAGCATGTAGTATGCAGTGGCTATGGTGCCAACAGCAGTGTGTTCACCTGACTGTCAGCACATAAAACTGCAAATCTACAGAAAAGTTGAAAGATTACAATGGATATACCCTTTACCTAGTGAATTAGTTATCTGTTGCTGCAAAACAAATTACTCTAAAACATAGCTTCATGGGAAGAAACATTTATCACACCACAGTTGCCATGGGTCAGGAGTGCAGGCACTGCTTACCTGGCGCCTCTGACTTGGGGTCTGTCACAAGGCTACAAATCAAAGTGTCAAGTGGGCTGCAGTCTCACATGAAGGCTTCACTGGGGAAGGACCTGCTTCCAAGCTCATTCATATGGTTGTCAGCAGGATTCAGTTCCTCACAGGCTGTTGGACTGAGGGTCTCAGTTCTTCACTGGCTGTTTTCTGGAGGCCTCCCTCAGTTGCTCACATGTGAGCCTCTTCCCCATGAGGCAGCTCACAACATGGCAGCCCATTTCCATCTGAGCAATTGAAGGAGAGAGAATTCAATTATGGAAGGAACCTCCCACATGCTATTTGCTAGAAGCCAGTCTCTAAATCCAGCCCCTACTCAAGGGAAAGGGATTACACAAGGTGTGAATTCCAGGAGGGAAGGTCAGAATTCACTGAGTGCCACCTTAGAGTCTGTCAACCACAGATTCATCAATTACTAACATTTTATCACATTTGCAGGTGCTCCCCTTTAGATAGATAGCTACAAATACAGATATACAGTTTTGTTTGTTAAACAACCAAAATTAAGTTAAAGATTGATATGGTTTGGCTGCGTCCCCACCCAAATCTCATCTTGAATTCCCACATGTTGTGGGAAGAACCTGGTGGGAGGTAATTGAATCATGGGGGCAGGTTTTTCCCACGCTGTTCTTGTGGTAGTGAATACGTCTCACAAGATCTGATGTTTTTAAAGAGGGGAGTTTCCCTGCACAAGTTCTCTCCTCGTCTGCCGCCATGTCAGACACGCCTTTCACCTTCCACCATGATCGTGAGGCCTCCCCAGCCATGTGGAACTGTAAGTCCATTAAACTCCTTTCTTTTGTAAATTGCCCAATCTTAGGTATGTCTTTATCAGCAGTGTGAAAACAGACTAATACAAAGACATTATAACAGTTCCCCTCTAATTACTTCAGCATGTATCTCCTAAGAATAAAAACATTTTTCTATGTAACCACAATGCCATCACCTCCCCCCAAATTTAACAATTGTGCTATATCATCATCTAATATCAGCCCAAATTCAACTCTCTCCAATTATTCCCCAAATACCTTTTATAGCTCTTTTTTTCCTGCTCCAGTATCCACTCAAGTTTCCTGTATTGTTTTTGGTTATTGTCTATTTAGTCTATTTTAATCTAGAACCATTCTTTCCAATACATTTATTTCTGGGTATTGTTTTTCATACTGTTGACATTTTTGAAGAGTTCAGGCCAACTGTTTTGTATAACTGTTGCCCACACAACAGGTGGGCTAGGTCACTTGGTAAGTGACAACCCAATGGCCACAACCAAGCAGGATTTAACAAGGGGATTTTATTACTTACAACTAGTAAAGAGAACAATGGGTATAGATAGCTCCCAAAGCAATGCCTTCCTGAGCTCCGGGCTGTGTCAGATTTTATAAGCATAGGGTAATGAGGTATGATCTGACTGGATCTTGCAATGAGGTAATGCCAAGAGGCATGATCTCACTGGATCCTGCTAAGGAGTGATGCCAGAGCTCAATCTGATTGCATCGTAGATCCAGCCATGCAATGTCAGCTTCCTAATTCAGTCCCTGCTCCTCTGAGCACTTAGGTTCCGCCCTGTGGCTACACACTTGGTTAATCTGGGCCTGCTCAGGTTACATGACCTGAGGCTCCATTAGCAACTGAAAAACAACTCATAACTTTGTTACATAAAAGTTGAACCAAATTGGTCTGGTGCAGCTACATAATATCCCATATTCTGGAGATGATTACTTCCTAATGGTGTTCATCTTATACCAGTGTCTACTGTATTTCTTGTAAGCAGGAAGTTAGGTTAAATATTTTTGGAAAGAATTCTACTTAGGAGGCACATATCTAGTAGTCCCATTATTGGTGATGTTTGATCACTTGGTTATGGTGGTAACTGCTCAGTCTTTCCATTATAAACGCATAATTTCCCTTTTGTAATTAGTAAATAATCAGTGGGGCAATACTTGAGAGTCTGTGTGAATACCTTGTTCCCAGAAACTTTTTTCCCAATAGTTTTAGCATCCATTAGTAATCCTTATCTTGGTTAATTATTACATTTGAGTTTCCAAAAGGATAATTGTCTAATCTAACATTCCTCTTACATCTATCACTCTGTAAAGACGAGCTTTTTTTTTTCGCTCCCTGTTTTCTTATGTTTTGTTTGAGATTGACTATGGACCATGATTTTCAAAAAATTATTATATTATAATCAATTATAATTACAGATTACAAATATTTATTTTACATTAACATTTAATACATTTATATTTATATATGTTAAACATTACATAGTACAATATATTATTAATATATTTAATATATAAACATTTTAAATATAATCATATATTAAGCATATATACTTAACTATATACCTATTAATTATATTGAATTATACATTTAAGTATATAATTATCTCAAATATAAATACAATTATACTTAAAATATAATTAAATAATAATTAACATTAATTTTTATTTGCAGATTGTCCCAAATTTGGCCAATGAAAAAGTCCTTCAAGGCCGGATGTGGTAGCTCATGCCTGTAATCTCAGCATTTTGGGAGGCTGAGGCAGGTGGATCACTTGAGGTCAGGAGTTTGAGACCAGCCTGGTCAACATGGTAAAACCCTGTCTCTACTGAAAGAAAAAAAAAAATTAGCCGGATGTGGGGGCAAGCACCTATAATTCAGCAGGCTGAGGCAGGAGAATCACTTGAACCAGGGAGGCAGAGGTCGCAGTCAGGTGAGATCGTGCCACTGCACTCCAGCCTGGGAGAAAGAGCAAGACTCTGTCTCAAAAAAAAAAAAAAAAAAAAAAAAAAAAAAAAAGAAAAAGTCCTTCAAGTTGACTCCTATATCTTTTTTTAAAAAAACAGCTTTATTGAGATATAACTTCCCTACTATACAGTTCACCCATTTACAGTACACAGTTCCATGGTTTTACTTTATTCACAGAGTTGTGCAAGCATCATCACAGTCAAGTTTAGAACCATCAAATCTAGTTCATTACCCCTAAAATAAACTGTTACCCATTAGTGGTCACTTCCCATTCCCCTGAATTCCTGGAGCCCTAGGTAACTGCTAATCTACCATCTCCATAGATTTGCCTATTCTGGATGTGTCATACGAATGGAATCATCTATGTGGTCTTCTGTGACTGGCTTCTTTCACTTGGCATGTTTTCATGGTTCACCCACATTGTATAGCAAGTTCATCTACATTCTGTAGCATTGATTTTACTGCCAGATAACATTCCATATTATGGATATCCTGTATTTTACTTACCCATTCATCAGTTAATGGGTATTTGGGTTGTTTCCACTTTTTGGCTCTTGTGAATAATGCTGCAATAACCAATCATGTACAAGTTTTTGTATGAACATACGTTTTAATTTATCTTGGATATATACATAGGAGTGGAACTGCTGGGTCATATGGTAACTTTGTTTTAATTTTTGAGAAACTTCCAGACTGCTTTCCAAAGTGGCTGTATTATTTGACATACTTTTTTTTTTTCCTTTCTTTTGAGACAAGGTCTCGCCCTGTTGCTCAGGCTGGAGTGCAGTGGTACGATCACAGCTCACTACAACCTTGACCTACTGGGCCCTAGCGATCCTACCACGTTAGCCTGGCAGAGTTGGAATTACAGGTGTGAGCCACTGTGCCCAGCCTCCATTTGACAGTCTTACCAGCCAAGTATGAGTTCCAATTTCTCCACATCCTCATCAACAACTTGTTACATTTTTTATGGCCATCCTAGTGGCTATAATTGTGGTTTTGATTTGCATTTCACTGAGGCTAATGATACTGAGTCAGTTTTTCTCCAGGTACCTTTGGTCCCAAAAATTCATGTTTTATTTTATATCCAGAAACTATCTCCAGTTATAGCTTTGTTTCATTGTCATGTTTCTCTTCTTTGGAGACTTCAGCGATGCATATGTTAACTTCTGTCTATCTTCTATCTCTCTTTTTTTCTGGTATTTTTCCTTCTTTTCCAAATTTGTTTTGGGTTCTCTTGGCTGTTTTAAATTTATGAATGTTCCTTCTTGAATTTTTAGGCTAACCTATTTTCCCGTGGACACAATGTAATTTAGTTTCCATATCTCAAGATTATTTGGCTTTTTCTTCTACTTCTTTCCTGAATTTAGTCAGTTCTCATTTTATAACTTTCTGCTTTGTGTCCACTTCTATTTTGAGTTTTTTAATGTCTGGTTTTTGGTATTCTTTATAGCTGCAGCTGCTTACTAAATGGTATTTACTTCATATGAAAAGTATTGTTAGTTTTCCTCTGCTTTTTGGCTGTTGGATGGAATTGTGGTTGGTGGGAAGAATTTTCATTAGTTGAAATTTTTTTATTTTGTTCTTATAGTTACTTTATATGGATGTTGGTAGCTCTTCTGTTTAGCTCAAAATAACTTGCATCTGACCACGTGTGGTGGCTCACACCTGTAATCCCAGCAATTTGGGAGACCAAGGCAGGTGGATCACCTGAGGTCAGGAGTTCAAGACCAGCCTTACCAACATGATGAAACCGTCTCTTCTAAAAATACAAAAATTAGCCAGGCATGGTGGTGGGTGCCTGTAATCCCAGCTACTCGGGAGGATGAGGCAGGAGAATCCCTTGAACCTTGGAGGTGGAGGTTGCGGTAGGCCAAGATCGTGCTACTGCACTCCAGCCCCAGCTGGGTGACAGAGTGAGACACCATCTCAAAAAAACAAAACAAAAACAAAACAACCTGTCAATATCACTGCGGAAAGGGTTTGTCAAACTCCAAGGCAATTTTCAGTGAGAATGACGCTGACTTTCAGATTTCATGGCAATAGGAATGATGTCAGACTTCACATTCCCCATGAAGAACCAGACAGCTAGAGTGTCACTACGTATTTTTAAAAGATGACTGAGGATGGAGACAAGTGAGTTGGCAGACAGTGGCAACCTCTGGAAGACGGAATCTTCTCTGTTGGTTCCCAGGCTGCTGTTCCGAAAGTCCCAAAACAAGCGACTGGCCTCTCCTGCATTCCCACCGGCTGCACCTTGCTCCTGCCTAGCATGGAATCTGGCTCCCGGCCACCAAGCAAGAAGCCACCAACTGGCCAAAATTTTTAATTAAAAAAAAAAAAATTAGTTCAAGTGCCTGCTGGGAGACAAAACTCTGAACCAGTGACCAATAGTTTCTTCCACAGCAGAATATCATTGCTGGAAACAATGGGTGTGGCACTTCTCAAATCATACCTGATGATTCTCCTCAAAATTTATACTTTGCTTTTCCTCAAACCAGTTGGTTTAGATATTTTAGTACAATGCTTTCACCAGAACTACAATAATGGTTCCTATTAACTGGAAACTGAAATTGATGTGGTCTCCTCATGCCACAGGTCACATGTTGTTTGGTGACTGATCTCGACACTTAGGAGGAAGTGGGGGTGCTGTCACGCCACGGAGGCAAGAGGAGCAGTACTAGAACCCAGGAGGTCTCCTGAGGCACCTCATCACTCTCATGCCAGGGCACAAGTTGATGGCAACATACTGCACCACCTACAGACAAACTACAACCTACCTACAGACAACCTCCTCAAGAACAAAAACTTGCTTAACCCAACCAGGCAAAGAATCCTGGCCAGCTGAGGGGTTGTGTGAAGGAAAGAGGGACCTGGAATAGGTAGCAGAGAAGGAAAATTGTAAATGACAATAAAGCTTCGTTACCAATTACAAAAATGAGGATTATAACCTCTAACGGTATTTCCCTTCTTGCTATATCATATATAAATGGAGAGTTTTTAGCTATTGTCCTTTTCTTTCATTTCCTTTCTCTTCACAATTGTATCTAAAGTCTATCAGTGATGCTTAACTTTACAATTTAGTTTACACATTGCAACGATGGGATGGGATGACGAGGAAACTGAAAGGAAGAATGGAACATCACTTAACAGAAGTTGGACTTGGGCCAAATACAATAAATGAGGAGATTTTGAGATGCCCTGCTTTGGGGAAGGGATAAGTAAATTCTGTTGTAGGAGAGATACTCGCATTTTATTGGATGGCAGCATTTTCATTTACCTTTGAAAGCACTTCTGTGAACGCTGGGCAGCCTAAGAGATGGCCTATAGTGGAGCAACTTTTGGCAACCCAGCGTCTCATTCTTCTCATTTGAGGGGAGGCCCCCACACATTGAGTCTTGCTATGAGGCTAGGCCTCCCTGACTAGAAGCCACAGGAGAAACCAGAACTCTATTTGCCTATTAGCAACTGGAACATAGGCACATAACCTAGACTAGGCCTAGTAAATGGTCCTTCCCAAAACTTGAATCTTGAGTGAGAAGAGTTGAAAAATAATTCATGTCACCACCAAAGGAGCTGGCATGCACCCTAATCAGAGTACCAAAGCAGGATAGCTTAGCTGGTTCCTAACATTTCCAGACCTGGTTCTCCAGCATTGCTGGTGCAAGGAATATAACTACAGACAGCTCCAGGCCTATTTTTCCCATGCTCAGAAACACCAGAGGAAAGAGCCTCTTTCTCACACCCTCATTCTCTAAAATCCCCGACAAGGGCTCAGATCATCTTAGGTTTGGTCATGTGCACATCCCTGGGGAAATCTGAGAACAAGAGGAGGCAGACTATAGTTGGCCGAGCCTGGGCTCCACACCTCCCCTTCTCCACACCCATCCTGCCTCGAGAGGCCAGAGAAGTGTGGTGCTAAAGAACCATCTGATCCAGGGGACTGCAGACAATTCCCCAAAGGAAAGTTTTCCCATCAGGCAAAAACAAAAGCTGCTCACAACACAAAATTACAGAACGTCAGAACCAAAAGGAACCTTGGGAATCCTTCATCCTATCCCCTCTGTTATAGATGAGGAAACCATAAGGATATGTATGCCTGTTTGGACTTTGTACAGTTCTCTGTTCAGCAGGGGTGACTTGGCTGTGGGATTAGGTGACTCCACTGGAGGTCTTCTGTATATAGCAAAGATCTAGGGGTCACAAACACCAATCCCTTCCGGTAGGCAGCAAATGTGTGAAGGCTGGCTGTTACTTAATGGACCAGTGGTGTTGATGGGATTCAAATTCTTATTAAAAAAACAAAAGCAAACAAACAAAGAAAACCTGTGTGATGCCCAAATAAAACCATCTGTGGGCTAGATGCTGCTGTTGTCAAACGTTTGTGACCCGTGGGTTAGACAAAACCTCTGAGCTGTCCTGACAGGTCTGGGAAAACCAAACAAGTCCTTGTCTCCTAAACTACCTGGGACTCAAGAGCTCTGCAGGAAAAAATTTGTACCCTGCACCCAGCTGGGGTTGACATTTACAGACACCTGTTTTATGAATTGAGGAGATATTCAGCAGAAGCCAGATTGCTGAAAGTGCTGCTGAGAGAAAACCATCAGAAGGGAGGACCCCTTCCCCACGCCGGCTAGGTGGTAGTTCCTCTATGCCTCCGGATTCTGCTGAGTAGTAAAAGCTAAAGGGCAGTATCATTAAGCTCCTAGGGGATGGGATGCAGTGGCTCACGCCTGTAATTCTAGCACTTTGGGAGGCCGAGGCGGGAGGACAGTCTGAGTCCAGTTCAAGCCCAGCCTGGGCAACACAGCAAGATCCCATCTCTGCAAAATAGACAGATAGATAGTTAGATAGAGATATATGAAAGCTCCTAGGTCTCATGCTGGCAGGGGACAGAGTGTGCACCCTAGCCTCTCACAAGCTGCCTCCCACTTCCCTCTGACTCCATCACCAATTTCCCATCAAAGCAGGCTGCTCGGAGTCGCTAAGCAGCTCCCAGTTCATTTTCCACACCCTTCCCATTCTCTGCGAGGCAGAGCTCCACCTCCCCCCGAAGCTGGCCTCAACCACCCGGCCTGGGGAGCTCCCCTCGGCACTGGCTCCCCGCCTCGCCCCACAGCACCTGTTCGGGCCTCGGTCGCGCCGCCGGGTCTCGCAGATGCGAATGTAAACAGAAACACAGCGAAAGGAGGTGGGACCACCTCGTGGCGGCGGCGCGTAGAAACATCAGTACGTCCAGAGCAAAATGAACGAATGTACGCATGACTCCTGGCGCGACCTTCACGCGGGAAAGCGCGCCTCCCGGCACCCACCCCTAAGCCCCCCGGAATGACCCGCCCTTGCACAACCCGGCTCTCAGGCGAAGCTGAGGTCGGAGCTCCAAAAACAAGGGACGACAGCAGCTGAAGAAGTCCCGGCTTCCCATAGGCCACGACGAAGTAGGGGGCGGGCTCATCTTGCAGGAGCGTCCACGTACTGGTCGAGCTGAGGGTTGAGATTGGCTGCGCGACAGGATGCCGAACGCTCTCCCGCGGAGGGAGAAGGGGCGGGAAGAAGGGTGTGGTCACCGCGTCCGAAGGGCGTGGTTGGCGCTCGGTCCCGCCCTGCGCGTTTCGGGCTGCAGTTGGAGGGCCGCGGTTGCAGTCAGGGCCCCTCAGCTTGGGGCCACCGCATGGGGCTGCTGAGGCCGTTCCGGACGTGCGAAGCGTTCGCGGTGCGGTAGGTAGGCAGCGTCCCGCGCCCTGGTGCTGGCGTTCGGGGTGCCCGCGGCCTTGGGGGCGGTGGCCGGGGCTAGATCCGCGCGCGCAGCCCGGCCCCCTCCGCCCCTTCTCTTCGGTGCCTGCGGGGCCCTTGCGGTGCGGGCCGTCTGGCCTCGCGTCCCCGCCGGCAAGGGCACAAAGGCTCCCTGGGGGCGGGGGCGCCTCGTGCTTTCGCCTCCATTTTGCGGGCGGAACGGCGTGTGTTGTGGCGGCCGAGGGGTCGGGGCCGAGGCGGGCGGCTGAGCTTGGGAGTGCCCGGGCGCGGCGAGGGAGCGCGCGAGTCCGCGCATCTGGTGGCGGAGCAGCTGCGCTGCTGGTCGGCCTGGGCCCCGGGGGAGGTCACTTTCCCTCAGGCCTCTCCCGAGCGTGGGCTGTTTACCCAGCTACCCAGTCAGGGCTAGTGCAGCGCGGGCCTTTCCCCCTCGAAAGATGGAGACCAGTGATGTCTTCTTATCGCCGTGGATGCTGCAGCGCCCAGATGCGGAGCGAAAAAATCTAGATGTCTCATTTTTTTTGCCTCGGAGGGCTACCCTTTCTAACTGTCATCACTAGAACAGTTCTCAGCAGCCTGGGGACGAATGTCCAAAACCTGTTCCAGTCCTTGATGATTAGTAGTTTGGGTTTAGTGTATTGTTTGTAACAAAAATGAGTGGAAACCTGCCAGGGCAGATTGGAGCTCACTGGGAATTCATCAGGACCACGAAGGGAGGTAGCATTTGTAAATAATCTAACAGTCCTCAGATCTAGGGTATGGAGAATGTTGTGTTAAAGTGCGTGACAAAGGGTGTTGGGTCAGTTTGCTTTGGGTTTAGTTGAAAGATCTAGAAGTCACCACTTTTTACTTTGTTCACTCCATTCCCCTTTCCCACCCTCTGTTGAGTCCATTCTGGCCCGCTTAGAAAACAAAACAACAACAACAAAAAAAAAAACAAGGAATTTGGTTTAAGCTCTTTTGCAAAGCTTTCGAAGGCACTTACTCACCTTGCGACTGATAACTCCTCCCTGTTCAGGGCTACCTTCTACGACCTCTATTTTTACACATCACACTGTATTGCGGTTTCCCCAGCCCCTAGCACAATGCTTGGAACATAAAAGGCACTCAATGATGGAAGGAAGCCAAAGGAAACAAAATCAGCATGGTAGCCCAAAGGTGACACAACAGAAATATTTATTTAACTTCTTGAGCCAGTTATTCTTACAGGTTAGGAAGGCAGCTAAGCTCAGGCTTTCTAAGTCAAACGGACTTTAGCTCTGCCATGTTACTAACTCTGATTACGTTTGTTTGTTTGTTTGTTTTAATGGTGATGGGGTTCTTGCCATGTTGCCCAGGCTGGTCTTGAACTCCTAGGCTCAAGCAATCCTCCTGCCTCTGCCTCCCAGAGTGCTGGGATTACAGGCATGTCATTAAGTTATTTAACTTCTCTGTGTCTTGGTTTCCTCATCCTGAAAATGGGAATAGTAATAGTACCTGTGTGGTGGGTTCTGAGGATTAAATAAGATATTAATGTAAAGTGCCTACCATAGTTCCTGGCACAAAGAAAATGATCTGTAGCTGTTAGCTGTTAGCAGTTGTTAGGAGAAAAATAAATGGATACTTGAACACACTCACCAATATGAAATATCTGTATAGTACTTGACCCTTCAGGATCTCTCTGCTTTTTGGTCCTTATCCGATCCCTTTTTTTGAGACAGGGTCTGACTCCATCACCCAGGCTGGAGTGCAGTGGCATGATCTCAACTCACTGTGACCTCAGCCTCCTGGAGTCAAGAGTCCCTCTCACCTCAGCCTCCCAAGTAGCTAGGATCACAGGTGCACATCACCATGCCCAGCTAATTTTCTATTTTGTTGTAGAGATGATGTCTCTCTATATTGCCCAGGCTGGTCTTGAACTCCTGGGCTCAGGCGATTACAGGCATGAGCCACGGTGCCTGGCCCATTATCTGATGGCGGAGTTTTTTCTTTTTTTGAGAGGGAGTTTCACTCTTCTTGACCAGGCTGGAGTGCAGTGGCACAATCTCAGCTCACTGCAACCTCCTCCTCCCGAGTTCGAGCAGTTCTCCTGCCTCAGCCTGCCAAGTAGCTGGGATTACAGGCGCCCACCACCATGTCCCGCTAATTTTTGTATTTTTTGTAGAGACAGGGTTTCGCCGTGTTGACCAGCCTGGTCTTGAACCCCTGACCTCAGGTGATCCACCCACCTCAGCCGCCCAAAGTGCTGGAATTACAGGCGTGAGCCACCGTGCCCAGCCTGATGGCTGATTTTTAAACATCCCTTTAGCCTTTCCTGATTCTCTTTCCACAGTGAAAGTATTCCATAGAATATTATCTGTTTATGTGTCTGGAGTCTCACCACCAGCTAAAGATTGATTCGGTGCCAAATAGAAGTTTGGCCAAGAGTTACAGTTGTACCTGATACACTCTTAATGGGGTCTGGTACCTGAAATGGTCATGTAAAATCAGAGGAGCTAAATAGATTGGGGCCTGGTGTGGCTGACAGAAAATCTTTACATGGTTGATCCATCCAGATAGAAGCGGAGCTTATGGAGGTGGACTCTCCTTATAACTTAAATTTGTTCTCATGAAGAAACTACTATCTTTAATGTTGTTCACAAACATTGTGAAAAGCCCAAGAAGTGTTCCTGTTGGCTTTAGACCTGTCTGCCAGCTAGAGGTGTCAGATACAACCCTTGGGGGACACTGCGTCACTTCCAGGTTTTCCTGTACCACTTTCTGGTTACAGGAAACAGGTTAAGTTGCACATTTCCTTGTAGCTGTAAGCTCCCTTGGCATGCCAGTTTATCTTAAATTATTTCCAGTTTCCAGAACAAATACCTTTCCCCTTCTCACTTGTAACTGGCACAGGAGAATTTCAGGTCTGTGATTCTGTTTTTAACATAGCCACCGTGAATCTCAGATTCTTTCTAGGGAATATTATTATTTCTGAGGACTCCCTTCCAGCTGTGGTATTCTATAATTAGCCATTAAAAACCTGCCACAAGGTGTAAGCCTTTTCTAATGTCCTTTTGCAGAGGCCTCGAAGACAAGGACCATAAATTTTCTTGTGTGTAACTGGCATATAGGCACCCAAGGAATGGTTGTAAAGCTATTTTAGTTGTTCCTTCTCAGGGTGCTGAAACAGCCTTACTTACCAACCCAGTGCTTCTGAAACATTGTGCTTACCAAGTTATCTGGAGATACTGCTAAACTGCAGGTTCTCATTCCAAGGTTCTGGGGTAGGACCTGAGAATCTGCATTCCCTACAAGCTCTGAGGTAATGCAGATGCCGCTGGTGCTGGATCACACTTTGATAGTGAAGTACTAACCCGAGTATCTACATTTGCTTTGTAGAAGTATTGGGTAAATGGGTTTTATTTTCTTATGGTATTGGAATAAAATCTTGGCTTTAGGAGCTGTTTTCTATTTTTTGTTTTAACAATTTCTCTATCTTGTTAAAAAAAAAAAAAACTATTTGAGGAATTGTTCCAAGATACTTTGATATAACAAGATTTTTAATAAAAGCAATTGAGGCACATGGAGTGAAAAAAAAAAAAATAGGAGAAAGTCAAGGGAGAGATTAGCACAAAAAGGCAAGTACCTCTCTGTCCTATGCATTTTACTCAAGTGAGATTGTGTATTTGGCCCTGAGCTTTGTAGCAGCCAAAGCAGAGGGAAATTTTTTTTGTATCAGTTTTGCCAGTACTTACAAAGTGAAAATGTCTGCTGAGTGGAGACAGCTGTTTCTGTTATTGAGGCCAGAGAATTCTCCCATGGGTTCCCCAAAGAGAATGCTGTGGTACAGTGAGTGGCATTCTTAATAGTATCTCTTGAGAGAATCGGTAAGATTCTTCTCAGTCTTCATACATGTAGCCTGATGACCTCACAAAAAAAGTGTCAGGGCCAGGCACCGTGGCCCATGCCTGTTATCCCAGCACTTTGGGAGGCCAAGGAGGGAGGATTGCTTGAGTTCAGGAGTTTGAGACCAGCCTGGGCAGCATAGCGAGGCCTTGTATCTTACAAAAATAATAAATGGAAAAAAAAAAAACTGTCAGTATAGTAAAAGCAATGGTCTGTAGAAATGCACCCATGTGGTCCAGGTACAGCCTCTTCTGACAGTGATTTTTCTTATAAGGAGGGTGTTTTTCTGCTTTGCTCTTTGGTGGGAAAAAAGGTGCAGTTGATTGACATGTTCAGCCCTCGGCATCCTTGTACATTGAGCTTTGTTACATACACTCTGCTGACTGCTGAGGAGGCCAGAGAACTTGGAGTTGAGGGGAGGAGTAACTGGGACTCAGTCAAGCTCCTTGTAGATGTGACTTACATTTCTTTAAAGGCTATCTAGGCTGGGCGCAGTGGCTCACGCCTGTAATCCCAACATTTTGGGAGGCCGAGGCAGGAGGATCACGTGAGGTCAGGAGTTCGAGACCAGCCTGGCCAACATGGTGAAACCCTGTCTCTACTAAAAATACAAAAATTAGCCAGGCGTGGTGGTGGGTGCCTGTAATCCCAACTACTCAGGAGACTGAGGCAGGAGAATTGCTTGAACCTAGGAGGTAGAGGGTGCAGTGAGATAGCGCCACTGCACTCTAGCCTGGGCAACAAAGCAAGACTCCATCGCAAATTTAAAAAAAAAAAAAAAAAGCCATCTGAAGACTTTGCCCTGTAAGTGAGAAGACTGGCCTTGCGGGGAGGCTGTCTGGTGGCCCTGGTCAGTCAGCCAACAGATAAGTGAGTGAGAAGGTGAGGGAACAGACAGCCAAGCAGCCTGGCCCACAGCCCTCCCTACCACATTGATCTAGAGGGACCCACTGGCTCCTCCTAGGGCTTTGAGAGACTCCTTCTGTTATTTTGACTCTAAGCAAAACTTCCAGAAGCAGCCCTGGGAAGAAAAGAACGGGCTCGTGGTGCCTGAGGATCCTGGGGATGGCCTTGGCCCATGGCCAAGCCACAGCACACACAGTTTACCCTCTGTAGCTTTGAGTCTTTTCTTCATTTTCACTTTACTTTTATTTTATCTGCAGAGAAGGGGTACAAAGTGCTCAGAGTGACCTACCTCACAGTGGAAGACAAGGCTGGTGTGGGGGACTATGGGGCTCCAGGGGGACTTCTCGGCAGGTCAGGAGCAGGTGGAAATGGCAGTTGCTCTTTGCTGCTGGCCTCCCAGTCTCAGACCTCCAGCCACAGTTTTTCTGGCACCCACACCACCCTGAAGCAGGCCTCGGTCACCTCTTGTGACTGGCCCCTTTGTTGGCTTCCGCTACGTGTCTTTACCTCCTTTTCTGCTGCCTCCCACGCCACTTGGCCTCTGCCTTTAAGCTCCTTTA